TGCAGGTTTTGTTTCTTGTTGCTTAGATTCTTCTGGTGCTCTGGGTAGACCCAGGAGCAGTGAAATGCTCTTTAACCTTTGTGGAGCTGCTGGCTCCCTTCCCCCACTGAAACTTTGTTGGTGGCTTATCGAAGCATTATTCATGCAGTCCTGGGAGCAGGACAAAAGCAGTTGCTCCCCTGTTGTTTTGCTAATTGAAGTTTAATTCTGTCTGTTGTTCTCTGCTGCTGACAGTTTGGGGGTTTTTTCCAATATGAACTGAGCCTGTTTTGTCCTCCCCCATGACAGGAGCTGATATGGATGTGTGCCTTACAAGCTATGGTCACTGTAACTATGTGTCTGGCAAACATGCCTGCATATTCTATGATGAGGTGAGTGCCTGAGTGATCTTTTTTTTTTTTTCATTATTATTATTTATTTATTTTTTGGTGTGCATGGCAGTAGGAGCTGGAGATGCAGGCAGCAGGTCGTCTTTGTGTGGTGCTCCTTTTTTGGACAACAAAGTAAGAGCTGGGTTTTACTTCAGTGGAGGCTGTGTCAGCATTTTCTGTCAAACCCTTTTCTGAAGCACAGAGCTCTGCCAGCATGATTTCTCTGACTGCCTGTGGGCAAGGACTAGCCACAAGTCAGCACTGTCACTGCTGGTGTCTAGGGAAAGAAAAGGACATAGACTTGATCTGATACTTCTTGATCTGGATGTGTTGTTAATAAAAGCTAAACTTCATGTGTCAACATCAAACCTCAGCTGGAACAAACCAGGGAACTGCTCTGAGTCTCTTGTTTTCAAGTGTGATGGGGGAGCAAAGCATTCATAGCATCTGCAATTCTCTATAAATTATTTATTTAGCTAAAACTTCAGTTAAGCTCACAGCATAAACAGAAACCTACAGTTTCTACTTAGCTACAGCCCAGAGATTAGTTTGTTCTTGAAGTAAACAGACCAGCAGGCCTGCCACTAACAGCACTGCTGGAGATGTCTCTTAGCATGGAAACAGTCTTTGAAGCAAGATCGAGTCTTTTTTGTCACCATTTGTCAACCAGCTCCAGAGCAGGATCCAGGATTAACCCACAGCCACCTTTGGCCATTCCTCCAGTGCCCTGCAAGCTTCCAAACACACTCAGTAATGGGATCCTGACCATAAATCTGAGTGAAAGCATCTCCTCACAGTGGTCAGTCATAAATCAGGCTCCAGGCACTGACCTTTGACCCTCCTATGGCTGTGGTCACTCTGGAGAGGGAGAATTCCCCTTCCTGGAGCTCTCTCTGCAGGTTCTCCTTCTGTAGTCTAGCAGGTTCCTTCAAAACCTACTCCATTTTGAACATGGAGTTTTTATATCTTGATTAAAGCCTTGTAGTCCCTGAGGGACGAGGTCTTGAGCTCTCAGATGATTTCTGTGAGCTAACCTGAAATCTTCTCTGCTCTGTCAACATCCTCCACAAAGCTCAGCTGAGCATGACGCCGCTTGTGTAACGCTGCATGTCACCGTAATGTCTGCTGGCATTTCAGCCTGCACAAGGCCATGAATCCCAGACTGCCTCTGTCCTGAGGCTGCTGCAGCACGTGGCATCCCTCTTGCCATCTTGTGCCTGCTTTCCAAAGCTCATCTCGTCCTGCTAGGCACAGGTCTGAGCCAAGTTTGCATCAGGTGCACCTGTAAAATGCTCGCTTTTGTGAGCATCAGCTTGAATATCCTGTTCCCAAAAGATGTGTTGGTTCCAGTGCAGTAGGTAAAACCCACTTTGCCTTGGCGCTCCTTCTCTGCCAGAAGGCAGCTCCTGCAGGAAGGCTGGTTGTTCTGGGAGCAGGGGGATCAGGTTGGTAGTTTCTGAAGCTGGAGGATATTTACCACCTCTTATTTGACAACTACTGGCAACAAGGAGAAGGGGTTGTGTTTCAGTGCTCCAAAGAGGTGTGTGTGGGCAGACTTCTGACTGACAGAGGGGGAGTTAGATTGGGTATTAGGAAGAAATGTTTCCCTGTGAGGCTGGTGAGGTCCTGCCATGGGTTGCTCAGAGAAGCTGTGGCTGCCCCAAACCAGTGTCCAAGGCCAGGTTGGATGGGGCTTGGAGCAACCTGCTCTAGTGGAAGCTGTCCCTTCCCAGGGCATGGGGCTGAAACAAGATGGTCTTTAAGGTCCCTTCCAACCCAAACCATTCTGTGACCTCATGTCTTGATTCCCCCCTCTCCCTTTCTTTCCAGAATACAAAGCATTACGAGCTGTTGAACTACAGTGAGCATGGGACAACCGTGGACAATGTTCTGTATTCGTGTGACTTCTCGGAGAAGATGACACCCACTCCTCCCAGCAGTATTGTTGCCAAAGTGCAGAGTGTGATAAGTGAGTGTTGTACCACCACCACAGGGAGTTAATTGAGAGGGGGCAGGAGCAGGTGGAAACCAGTTCCTTGTTGGTGCCCCTTGTTCTGCACAGGCTGGTGCACCCCTTGCAGAAAGGGGAGCCTTGCCACAGCCCTCAGCTGGGGTTACACAAGACCTTCCTCTGCAGCCTGGGGAGCTCTGTGCCCTGACCTAAACCCTACTCCAGCCTCCAGGGCAGGAGTTACCAAGCTCCAGGTCCCGATGAGCAGCCAGTTTGGAGCAGGCCTGAGGCATTTCCCCATGCATGTCCTCCCTTCCAAGGCTGTGAGGAGATCTGGGCTGTGCTGCAGGCATTCTGTCCCTGCATGTCTCACTCCTGCTCTTCACCTGATCAGCTTCCTCTTTTTAGGCTGCCAGAATAGATATGTAAATGCCTCAACCTCTCCAGGGCTGTGAGGAGATTCCAGTTTCCCTTTGATCAGCTGCTCAGTGCAGACTGAAATCCCTCATGGCTGGAGGATCTTACCCATGAGGCACCTCAACAGTAACCCCTGCTGATGAAAACAAGCTGCTGCTGACCTACCCAAACCTTACCAATTTTTTTTTTATTCTTTTCCAGAACGACATAAAAGCAGAAAACAGGAAGAGGAGGCGCATGAAGAAGCTGCTGTGATGAATTCACAGGCACAAGGGCAGCATCGAAAACCCTGTAACTGCAAAGCCAGCAGCTCCAGTTTGATCGGGGGCAGCGGGGCTGGCTGGGAGGGCACGGCCCTGCTCCACCACGGCAGTTACATCAAGCTGGGCTGCCTGCAGTTCGTTTTCAGCATCACCGAATTTGCGACCAAACAGCCCAAGGGGGACACTGCCTTAGTACAAGATATGGACTTGGAGGAGAAGCTTTCTCTGAAACCCCACCAGGTGCCCGTGCTGCGGTCCAACTCAGTTCCCTAGGAATTTTTAGGAAGAGAGCTTTTTGGAGTAAGGAAAAACGCCCTCAGACTCTTTACAATGCAAAAATGTACAAACCGAGGTGGGATTTTTCTGTGTCGGCCCAGAGACTGTTCACACGCCGTTTGCATGAAATGAAGAACGTTTAACTTTTTTTAATTTTTCTTTTTTGCTCAAGTTTTAGGGGCATTTGCACATATATTTGTACTATACATTTCATTTTAAAAGGAAAACTGCAGTGAGAGCAGGACGCGTCAGAGCGAGGGGTGACCGCTGTCTGACTCGAGGACTCTCTCTGACAGATAGTTCCCATGCAGTTGTAAAATAATCAGAAACTTGTTCTATTTTGTGCCAGTGACAATAGTTTTATATTAAAAGAGAAATACAGTTTTCATACAGCAAATCTATACAATATCATTGTTTTATTTAATGTAAAGAAGCGCTCTTCTTCCCACAGTTATTTTTCCCATCCCTCCCTGCTATGGTTGCACTACAAGTAGCTACTGTGTATTATGGGCAGTGAGAAATGAGTTCTTTTCCTGGTGTCCATCCTATTTTTTATTTCAGATAAGGAAAAGTGTTGGATTCTGTGTAAATACATCAGTGATGGCATTTTTCAATGTTTTAAAGCTGTGTACAGTGCTACATGTGGTATGACGTTCCTCAAATTGTCTATTGTAGCAGATCCTTTGTCGTAACCTGTCTGTCTCTTTTGTTTCTCTGCCACCTCCCTGCAGCAGAACAGCTAGTTCCACTGTACATAGTAATTGTAACGTTTTAGACTTTACAGAAACTTTCCTGTATTCTGTATATAAAAAAAAAATACTTCACATTCTGTTTTCTCGATTGTCTGTCTTCACTCGTGTCACCACAACCTGGAGCTTCCCCAGAGTGTCTGACTGCAGAGGAGCCTGAGCTGGGAGTCAGGGCTGGGGTGGGATGGAAGGACCCTGGTGGTCCTGCCTGGGATGTGGGAAGAGGGTGAGGACTGGAAGATGATGGAATCATGGAATTGGTTGAGGTAGGGGAGGGACTCTTGAAGGTCATCAAGTCCAACCCCTGCAATGTGCTGGGATAGCTTCAACTCATTGTGGCCCAACCTCACCTCAAATGTTTCCAGTTCTGGGCTCCTCAGGACAGGAGAGACATAGCCTGAAAGTGTCCTGGAAGATCAGGGACTGGCACACCTCTTTTATGAGGGAAAGCTGAGGGAGCTGAGCCTGTTTAGCCTGCAGAAGAGCAGACTGAGGAGATCCTATTCTCAAATACAGCGATGTGAAGGGGATGTGTCAGGGGATGGGATGGAGCCGGGCTCTTCTCAGGGCTGCTGAGCAATAGAAGGAGAGGCAAGGGCAGAAACAGGAGCAAGGGAAGTTACACCTGAACATGAGGAAGACCTTCTTCACCATGCACTGGAACAGGCTGCCCCAAAAGGTGGCAGATTGCCTATCCCTGGAGATATTCAGCTGTCCAGACACACTTCTCAGTGCTCTGAAGGACGCTGCTCGAGATGGAGGTGCTGGATTAGGTTATCTCCGCTGGTCCTTCCCACCGGAACCGCCCGAGGTTCCGTGCCTCCCTCCCACCGCCCGGGGCAGGGCCGCTCTCCCGGGATATTGCTGGGGCCCGCACTCACCCTCTGTCCACGGCGCCACGAATCCAGCTCTCCTTTCCCCGGAGCCGCTCGGACCTCGCCCCGTCCGCCCTCCGCCCGGTCCCGCCGGGGCGGGAGGCGGGAGCGGGGCCCCGCTGGCCCCGCTCACCGCCGCGCTCCGCTCCGCTGCAGGGGGAAGCAGCGGCATCGGCGCGGCCACGGCGCTGGAGCTCGCCCGCTGCGGGGCCCGCGTTATCCTGGCGACCCGCAGCGCCCGGCGCGGAGAGGCCGCCGCCAGCCGCATCCGCAGGGTGAGCGCCACCCCCGGGAACCCCCGGCATTCCCACACACGGGGCAGCCCCGAGCCCCATGGCACCCCCGGGGGACCCGTGGCACCCAGCGGGCAAGTCCAGGACACTCCCGGGATACCCTCAGTGAGGCATCGATGGGTATCACATGAACACCCCCAGATACCACATGGGCACCCTGAGGACTCTGCCATGGCATCCCCTCAGCAACGCAGGGATGCCCATAAGAGTCCCCAAGGACAGCCCTGGGCACCCCCAGGACATCCCTGGGCACCCTCAGAACACCATCCAAGACACACAACAGGACACCTCAAAACATCAAATGAATAACCCCCAAAAACCCCCCACGGGTACATCCATGGCACACCCCAGGAACAACCCCTCGGACACCCCCAGAGCGCATCCCGGGCACCCCGAGGTGGGGCACGCTGTACCACTGCAGCCTCCCACGCTGCGGGGTCCCAGCACACTGTAGCCCTTGGGAAGATCCAGTCCCCAGAACATCCTCCTGCCCCTGGCCGGCTCCGGCCCCAACCCAGGGCAGGGCACAGCCCCAGGCCCTGCCCCAGCCCCGCTGTGCCCACAGGAGACTGGGAACAACGAGGTGCTGTTCATGCACCTGGACCTGGCCAGCCTGCGCTCGGTGAGAGCCTTCGCCAGCACCTTCCTGCGCCAGGAGCCCCAGCTGCACCTCCTCATCAACAACGCGGGTGAGTGAGTGCCGGGACCCCAAACCCCCTGAGCACCCCCGGGGCACCACCACAGGCTGCCATCGCCTCCTCACCGCGCAGGGGTGAGCGCCGGGGGCACCACGGAGGATGGCTTCAGCCTGGCCTTCCAGGTGAACCACCTGGGCCATTTCCTGCTGACGCAGCTGCTGCTGGAGCGGCTGCGGAGCTGCGCTCCCAGCCGGGTGGTCATGGTGGCCTCCAGCGCCCACTGCGCCGGCCGCCTGCGCCCCGAGAGCCTGGGCCGGCCGCCCTCGGGGCCCTTCCCTGCCTTCCAGGACTACTGCGACAGCAAGCTGGCCAACGTGCTGCACGCCCGCGAGCTGGCCACGCGCGAGCAGGGCACGCGGGTCACCTGCTACGCCGTGCACCCAGGTAGGAGCCAGCTCGCCCCTGGGGGCTGCGATCTGCACACCCTCGTGTCCGTGGGGGCCCTCTGTGGGGTGGTGGCCTGCTTAGCCTTTTCACAGGGAGTTCCTGCACCACATAAAGGGACACATGCTAAGGGACACACCATGCAAGGGAGCATCTCTCCGTTGCATGGTGTGGCCCTTAGCACGTGTCCCTTTTTATGGTGTGGACCTTTGCATGTGTCCCTTTGCATGTGTCCCTTTACATGTGTCCCTTTTTATGGTGTGGCCCTTTGCATGTGTCCCTTTTTATGGTGTGTCCTTTATTATGTGTCCCTTTATATGGTGTGTCCCTTTGCATGTGGCCCTTTATATGGTGTGGCCTTCTACATGTGTCCCTTTACATGGTGTGTCCCTTAGCATGTGTCCCTTTATATGGTGTGTCCCTTTTTATAGTGTGGCCCTTAGCATGTGTCCCTTTATATGATGTGTCCCTTTATATGATGTGTCCCTTAGCATGTGTCCCTGTGCACAGTGTCTCTCTTCATGGCATGTCCCTTATCTTGGCATGTCCCCTTGGACCTTGTCCCCTTGCGCTCTGTTCCTCGATACAGTGTGTTCCCTTTGCAGTGTCCCCTTGCACAACACATCTGTTCATACAGCGTGCCCTTTTTCATGTGTCCCTTTGCATGTTCCTCTCCCCTCTTTCCTTTTCTTCCTCTTCTCCCTTCCCTTTGCACCTGTCCTCACCTGGGACAGATGCACACACCCCAGCCTTGCACAGCCAGGACAAGCATGGGGACAATCACCAAGGCCACCCTTATGGTTGATGCTTTGTGTGAGGAGACGAGAATCTTGACTCCATATTTCAGAAGGCTGGTTTATTATATTATGATATCTATGATATTGAAATGCTATATTGAAGCTGTACTATAAAGAATAGAAAAGGATCCATCAGAAGGCTGGAAAGAACAGGAATGGAATGATAACAAAGGCTCGTGACTCCCAGAGAGTCCGAGCCAGCTGACTGTGACTGGCCATTAATTAGAAACAACCAACATGCCCCAATCTCAGCTGCACCTGTTGCACCCCACAGCAGCACACACTTGTTGTTTACATTTCTTCCCCGAGGCTCCCCAGCAGAAAAAAAAAACCCCAGCAAAGCATTTTTCATAAAATATCACAGTTACACACCCTGCCCGTCCACTGGGACGCACGCAGGGTGGCACACACCCCCCACATGTGCCAACCTCCCGCAGGTTTCGTCAACACCTCCCTGTTCCGGCACGCTCCGGCCTGGCTGAAGCCGCTGCTGCTGCCGCTGGCCTGGCTGCTGTTCCTGGAGGCGGCCGAGGGCGCGCGGGCGGTGCTGGCCTGCGCCACGCGGCCGGGCCTCGAGCCCCTCAGCGGCCGCTACCTCACGNGGGGCGCGACGACCGCCTGGCACGGGCGCTGTGGGACGGCAGCGAGCGGCTGCTGGGGCTGCGGGCGGCCGGGGAGCGGCGCGGGGAGGGCCCTGCTGCTGGCACGGCGCGGGAATAAAGGTGGTGAGGGAGCCCCGCGGTGCTGTGTGCGTGTGGGGTGGCGGCGAGCCACGGGGCCTCGCAGGCCCGGCGCGGACTGAGCGTGCAGCGGGGCTGGGAGGGGACGGCGAGTGAGTGTGCAAGGGGGTGTGGGGGTGCAGTGTTGGTGTGCAGAGCGGCACACCCGGCTCTGTGTACATGCTGCAGGGCACAGCCTGCCTGGCACACACATGCGGTGTCGCAGCTATGCAGTGTCACACACATCCCCTGCAGTGTCACACACACCCATGTGGTGTCACACACATCCTGCCTGGCACACCCATACGGTGTCACACACATCCCTGTCACACCCATGCAGTGTCACCCCCATCCCTTGCACACCCCTGCAGTGTCACACCTTGCAGGGCACAGCCTGCCTGGCACACACATGCGGTGTCGCAGCTATGCAGTGTCACACACATCCCCTGCACACCCCTGCAGTGTCACACACACCCATGTGGTGTCACACCCCTGCAGTGTCACACCCCTGCAGTGTCACACACACACACACACACATATCCCTGTCACACCCCTGCAGTGCCACACTCGCTCCCTTGCACCCTCACCTCCCTCCCTTGCACACCGCGCATGCGCACGCCCCCCATATTACCCTCCCCGCGCACGCTGCGCCCAACATGGCGGCGCGCCCGGCCCGGCCCCGCCCCCTGGGTGTGGCGCCGACCTCCCCAAGATGGCGGCGGCCGCGGGGCGCGCCCCCGCCGAGCGGGGCGCGGGGCATTGTGGGGGCGGGCGGCGGCGGGGCCGTCATGGGGAACTGCCACACGGTGGGGCCCAACGAGGCGCTGGTGGTGTCAGGTACGGTGGGGTGGCGTGCAGGGCACCCTGGGGGAGCTGGGGGATTGGCTGTGAGGGGGCTGCCGGGGGTTTGAGTGGTCCCTGACATGGGAGGATCCTGAGGGGCTGGGTGTGCCAGGAGGGGGCTTTGGGGGTCCTGGCTGAGAGGGAGCTCTCAGCGATTTGAGGGGTCTCGATCACTGGGGGGACCTCTGTGATGGAGCTCATGGGAGAGGGAAATCGGAGGGTCCTGGCTGTGAGGGGACCCTCAGGGGAGTCCCTGTGAGGGGGACACTGTCATGGAGAGAGCCTGGGGGTTCTCTGTGGTGGGTGTGCAAGGAGGGGGGAATTGAGGGGTCCTGGCTGTGAGGAGACCCTCAGAGGCTGGGGGAGTCCCTATAGAGGGACACTGTCATGGAGAGAGCCTGTGGGAGTTGGGGGGTTCTCTGTGATGGGTGTGCAAGGAGGGGGGAATTGAGGGGTCCTGGCTGTGAGGGCACTCTGAGGGGTTCTAGGAGGCGTCCCTGTCATAGGGGGGCCCTGAGTGATTTGGGAATAGACAGGGAGGTGGGAGATGCTGTAATGGAGCTGAGGCTCTGGGGTGGGGTCCCAGCAGTGCAGAGCAGTGGATGAGGTCCGGCCACAGCAGCAGCACCTCGGATGCTGCTGATTCCAGGTGATGTCAGGCACTGGCACCAGCACAGCTCAAACAGGCTTTGGCTGGCACTGCCAGGAAGCCATCCTGTTTCTGAGGGCAGGGAAGGGGAGCTGGGGGTGAGCATCCCCCGGGGCAGAGCGCTGCAGGGTGTCCCTGCAGTGCCCATCTTCATCCACCACATCCCGCTGCAGCTTCCTCACAGCACATCACCTGGACTCTCCGTGCTGCTGGCACTGGGTGCAGGTGGTGCCCGCTGGACATGTGGAATGTCACCAGCAGCTGACTGAGGTGACTGAGTTAGGTTAAACAAACCAGCAGTGAAATCCCCCACGTCTGATCCAACCTGTAGTCTACTGAAGCTCCAGGCTGCACTTTGGTGTGGACAGGATTATTATTCATTCATTATTGTCATTATTAGGTGAATTAATTATTGTTAGGTGATGCGAGGGCTGGGAGCTTCACTCTGTGACAGACTGAGGCCAGCTGCAAGGTAATGAGCACCGGTAGGAAATGCATGGGAACATCAAGGCTGTGCCTCGGGTCACAGCTCTGCCACGCTTGCAGCTCTGTTGTTTTGGAGCCAAAGCCTCCAGCAGGCTGTGGTTGGTCTGTTATCAGTTCATCTCTCTTGGATGACAGACCTGTTACAGGAATTCTTGAGGAGATGCCAGGAGCAGGCTGCAGTTCTGGAAACAAATATGCCCATTCTGCTGGTGGCTTCTGAGGAGTTACAAACCCCACCCAGCAGCTGCCCAGAGCAGCAGTATTCCTTGCAGTTCTCCTGGTCTGCAGTTCCCAGTGGGATCCAAAGCTGGTGCTGTGCTTCCCTCCAAAGGGAACCCTGTCAAAACTGGCACTGCTTGGTGAAGTGCCACATCCATGGGAAGCTGTGCTCCACGTGTGCTTTGGAGCTTTTTGAGCACTGAAGGGATGCCCTTTACTCTCAAAGCTTTGAGTTTACCAAACACAGCTTCCAGGATGAGCCAGCAGGAATTTGTGGCATCTGCTTGCAGTTCCAGGCGTGGTGCTTTTCCACAGCCCAGGGCACTCCTGGAAGTGCAGCTGTGTTTTGGGAAGGGAGCAGAGATCAGCCCGGGCTCTGCCAGCTGGGATGGGCTTTGGAGCTGCCACCAGGCTGGTTTTCCTCTGCTGCTGCCCAATAGTCTGCAGATACTTGCTGAGTCCTGGGGGCACCCACTGGGAGCTCTGCTGGCCCTGCAGCTCCTCTGTGCCCCTGTGCAGCAGTGAGAGCTTGTAGCTACAAGCCCTTGAAATTCCAGGAACTTGAGCCATATTCCTCCAGGGAAAAGCAGGGAGGACCTCGTGGGCCAGCATTAATTTGTGTGATACTAAGCTGGATTTAGGGAGAGAGGGAAAGGGAAGGAGAAACTAATAATAATTACCAATAAGCCAAAATAATGTTAAATAAATTTTAGTTAAATTAGTTTAAATAAACCAAATATTATTAGAGGCAGGCTTTTGGCATGCAGTCTTGAATTGTCATGTGGTAGTTATTTGAAAGATATTTCACTTGGTGGGAGGGTTTTCTTTATTTTCTTCACTCAGCCTGTGCCCCTTGGCCTTTAGTCCTGGGCCTCCCTTGGCATGTGGGTTTTTCTGAGGAGGGTTGTTCTTTCTTTTCACTTTCTTGTGAGACAGTTGAGTTCCTCCAGTGCTCAAGAAGCAGCCAGCTGTGCCTTGGGAACGTGGAGCTTTGCAGCCTTATTTGGGAAGCTGCTTCCCAGACACAGCTCAGCACAGCTCACTGCTGTCCTTCCCCTGCTGAGCAGCACCGGCCTCCTTCTAAGAAACTGCACTGCTGATCCATCCATCAGTGAATTGTGGAGCCCAGGATTTGTAAGGAAGAGCCTTGAGTCTCCCCAGATTGTGGGTCTGACTTTTCTGGGAGACTCCCTTGGTGCAAGGACTGAGGAGGCTTTGGCAGGAGCCTGGCACATCACTGAGCCCATTCTGAGCACAGCTGGAGCTGGTGGAGTTCTCAGGGAGGTACACAAAGTACCTGTTCATCCCGGTATCTGAATGTTCCCACCAGCCAAATAGGCTGTGAAGTGCTGGGTTTGGGTTCCAGTCTGGTTTATAGGCTGTGAAGTGCTGGGTTTGGGTTACACTCTGGTTTAATGCAGCTTTTGTGGCTAAGGGTGGACCTGCTGATTTTAAATACAGCACAATAATATTTCCACAGTGCCACAATAAGGAAATCTGTATTTACAGTGGCCATACCCATCTAACAGTTACCAAACAGTGTTGCCTAAATCTCTACAGTTGAAGCATTTTCCTTCTGGCTGGCAAGGGCTGCAGCAGAGGAGCTCTGAGGGAAACACCTGGAAATATGTGAAGGAGGGGAAAGTGGGCACAGCCCTCCCTGTTCCTGTGTCAGAACAAACTGCTACTTCAGCAAAAGTTCAGGGAGTGAAAGGAGGAAAAAATTCAGGGGAGTGCAACCCAGCCAAGCCAACTTTATCTCCTAGGAGACTACTGAGACAAGTATGTTGCTTGTAACACCTACAAGAAGACAAGTAGAGGTATTTGCCATGTTCAGCTAATCTGATTCCTCCTCAGGTGAGCAGAAATCAGCTTGAGAAATATGCTCCAGCCCAGTTTCTCAAATTTCAGTTTGGTGCAACACCCTTTGGGGCTCTTTGATGTCTGTCAGAGTAAAAGAGCTAGCAGTTAATTCTATTTCCTGCTGCATGCCAGCAGTCAGGGGTGTGTAACCCTTCCAGGGCTGCTCTAAGCTCTTCCATCCTGCTACTGCATCCCTCCTACCCCTTCCAGAACTGCTCATGTGCTGTTTTCATGTTACTTTTCCAAGTTGAAAGCTTGAAATAAAGATTTCTTGAGGTTATTGAAGCTCTTCCTGTAAGAGACCTACGTAAGTCCAAAGTGCAAGAAGGAACTGGTTTCTCAGATATTACGAAATTAATATGAAACTGCCTGGAAGACCATTGCCAGGAAACTTGACAGTAGCTCACTGTTCAGCTGAAAGAATTTATCAAGTAAGTTCCTTGTTTTGGCTTGGATAATGGAATTGAGAATGTGCTTATTGAATTTGCAGACTGAGCTGGGAATGGATTCGAGAGCTTTGATGAGCTGGATCAGGATCAAAACAAACTCTAGAAACTGACCCAATGGGCTGAACAAAACCCAGTGCAGTTCTGGAAGGAGAAATGTAGAAGTTACATTTAGGTGAGAAGAGTCTATTGCATGAAAATGGAACAAGAAGGTCCAGGCCATGTCCTGTGGAAAGATGTGGTGGGCAGCAAGAGCCACCTGAACCCTCACACTGATGGTGTAATTCCAGTTCCTCAGCCTCAGAAGGAATAGGAACTTGTGGGAAGGAGCAGGCAGCTTCAGCTGGGTCTCAGGAGGTTCTGCCCTCTGTTCATACAGTTAATTCAATTCAAACTGTTTTGCATGGTTGTGGTTGGGGTGTTCCACCTCTTGCACCAGGCAAGGTCTGCAGGAAGCTTGCAGTGCCACTAGTGATCACCTGCCAGGTTTAACTGAGTGCTCCTGCAGATTTTGG